TTTATTTCTGAAACCACACCACCACCACCTCCTTCAACTGCAAATATCTCAACTTCTATTCAGGATACACTAGATGGGGGCATATTTTTTCACCAAGAGAAAGACAAAAATAACATCACGAACAAGCTTTAGGATGATACCAATAACACCGATGACTAAAAAAACTGACGAGCACCTGATTCCACCTTGTTGGGACACAAATTTACTCTCACCCCTTTAAAAAGGTTCTATACAGGCTGGCTAAAAAAAAATTCGGGCAATATTTTGCTGTACACCGTACCCAAAGTGGAGCAAGATTTTAGAAATTTCAAGATTTAGAGTTCAAAGGGCTATTGGCTTCTTTTTAGCCCACAGGAAGCATTATGTTTGAGGAAGACACACGAGGGGAAAGACTACTTTTTCTGTGAGAAGAAGAACAAAAGGCCAGGTCAGTCAGGAAACTTGGGAACCCCACATCTAGAACTTGAATGGAGAGTGAGGAATGCAACGAGGAGGAAAGAAAAGTGTTAAAATAAACGTGGCTGCGAAGTCAAAAGCCACTAAACAAACTCATTGTATGCCTACACTGGATTTTTTTCTTTTTTTTCTTTATTCTTAACATGAAGATAAAAATGGGCAGTCTAGTATTTTGACACTCTAAACTCTTTTCTTTATAGCAAGTTTTATGGCACTTGCAATACAATAAGGTCATATATGAGTGCTGAAGATTAGAGGTGTTACAAGGGAGTAAAAAGCACAAAAAGAAGGAGGAGAGAAAAGGACGATAGAAGTTTGATAGGAAAGAAGACGCAAACCACATTAGAGCATCCGCCAACCATCGGGTTTCTAAACTCTTTAAAACTACTTTTAACCTTGGAAGCACGCAGACCCTATATATAAATGGGCATGAGCCGGGCTACTTGGGAAGCGCATAGGCCCTATTATTTACAGGGCTGACCTACTACCTTCGACTGGGAAGTGTGCAGGCCCTATATAAAGGGCATAGACGCTGACCTTCTTTAATGGAAAATGTCTGTGTTCCTTATAAGGAAAATGACGTAGTAAATTACAGGTCAAAGTTATAAATAGTGATCAATGACTTTGTAAGTTATCTTGACCTCATAGAGCGTCTCTTGGCCAAGATATCGATTGATAAAGTGACGCGGTCAAGCTGAGTGACTACACGTTATGTACGTGTTATTCACTTGTTCCGCAGTGCTAATGTATTAATTGTTGAGTTCATCGCGTTTTGCGCTTTGTTTGTATTTATTTGATCGCTTATCATTTTTGAATGGCTCATTCTATCAGCTTTAAGAAAAGATATACATGGTTTTATATGCCCTTTATCATTTGTTGAGCCATTTTATTTCATTATAACTGGTCATTTTTCAGTAGCAGGTGTACATCTCTGGTATTTCAGCTGATATCCTCCCCGCCAAACCCCCATGTTTACAACCGATCGGCTGTGGCGGCTGGGCATATCGGGCGTGTTACTTCTGGTGAAACGCTGAGCATTTCTAAAGTCTAAGGTTAGGTTCCTATTGTTGGCTACTTCTCCATGCCACACATACTAAGGGATTCAAGCTTTGCTTCCTTTTACAACAAAAAGCTGACCTTTACATTTAAACAACATTACAGCTTTGAATCCCCACCCCAAGATGTTGATTTCATTTTATTTTACAAGTACTAGGAAAGGCAAAAGCAAAGGCAAAGCCAGTAATCCTCCAGACATGCATGGTTTTCGGCCTATATTATATAGATCTAGAATCTAGATCTAGATCTAGGCTCTATTATTTTGTTTCAAAATCTATACCAACTGGATTTGGGTAATATGATAAGGTACTGCACTTTGACTGTAGGCTTAAAAAGTCAACAACCCTAACCTTATTATTAGGGCTATCCCAAATCCAGCACAATTTTAAAAAATTTTAAGAGATCTGGAAGAATGCTGCAAAGAAAATCATCCATGTATGGCACAGTCACCAAATTGTTTTACTTCATGAGCCTTCCCTTCATTCCTCTATTTAAAAATAGTATAATAGTTAGTTAATGTCGTCACAAGTATTTGAAAGAGATTTAGTCAAGATTAGATTTAGTTAGAGTAGGGTCTAGATCTAGATCCTAGATCTAAAAGATAGTATCAACAAAACAAAACAAAATAAATTCCAAGACCACAGTCCACAGCACAAGGCACAGGGTCTACAGTAACAAAACTAGATTTACACAGTAAAAAAAATAAGAGACCAAATTACTGGAATCTCTAGCCCTAGAAATTGGGAGTTAAAAACAAGGCAGCTCAGCGTCCTCTGTGACTGGTAGATCTTGTGGTAACTTGTAAACTAACTGTACTGCGGCAAACGGTTTTTGGTAAACGAACTAAGAATTTAGAAGAAGTGTAATACTGTGATAAAAGTTAGGAAAGCGAAAGGTCGGCATTCCTAAATTTGCGAAAAGACACTTGAAAACAGAAAGATAACACTTTTACCAATCAGAACCCTTTCTGATTTCCCCTGATTTCCACCAGCATGAAGGTGAAAGCATGCAAAAAGTGCGACCAGATGAGAACTTCCACTTTGAAAGTGATACAGATTATAAACAAACTCTCGTTGCTCTCCGACTCGCATAGTCCGCCATCATTGCTATGAAGCTTTGAAAACGAGACTAACCGGAAGCGCAAAACCACGAAAATCCGTTCTTGTTATTGTACACACAGGCCCCAAGCTTCCTTAGCGGACTTAAATACAATAAACATTGCCTCAATGATAAGTAAAAATATCAATATAATCAAAGACATGAAACCGACTTAATCAGTGATCCCAAATATAATTTTCTCTCTTTTAGTGTGGATAAACTGTATTCAATTTCATGTAGGGCAGAGCCCCATGACTAAGGGCCAAAAAGC